TCCGTTGGTTCACTTCCCAAGTGGCCGCAATAGTCAGAGCTAAACCAATCTGAAGCCAGGAATTTCTTCTGAGTCTCCCACACAGGTGCAGGGTCCCAAGGCTTTGGCCATCCTCTTCTGTTTTCCAAGGCCACAAGCAGGGAGCTGGATGAGACGTGGAGCTGCCGGGATACAAACTGGGCCCCATATGGGATCCTGTTGGATGCAAGGCAAGGATTTAGCCACTGAGCCATTGCACTAGCCTCTAACAACTTTTTTTAAAAATAAATATTGGAAAATATTTCTGAGTATGTTCAAATGGATTGAAGGTAAGGGAAGGTGACCTAGAATCCATACTCTCACTGCCGTATGTAGTGTCTTACAAACATGTGCTTACTCAATGTTCAGACAAGCTGAACACATTTCCTAGATCTAGTCCTACTTTGATGTTGGGTTGCATAATAGCTTTGTTTTTTCCTTTTAGTGTGTGTTGTTGGATGCCTGACATCTGGAATAGGATTTCTAACAAAGGAAATCCAGTTTCCCTTGAATTTTGTGATTTGGACAGCTATTCCCAGAAAGTGACACAAGAGCCCCAATTTCTTTCCTAAAGGTCACTTAATTGAAAAGTCAAGAGGTAGAATTGATTCAACATCATTTCGACTTGACCTAAATTTTCTCCAGTAACTGAAAAGACAAGAGGCTTTTGAGCCAATTATTGTCTCTTGCAAAGTTGAGGGTTATTTATTTATTTATTTTTGTCAGATTACAAGTACTTTGAAAATATTCAGGTGCACTGATTCTTGTCAAAATGTCTACAACAAAGAGAACTTGCTGAATGGTTTTCTAGCCTTTGAATTTTTTTCTCTCAAGGACCTTTTAAAATATTTGATATTGTCAAAGTATTATCACATTTCAGAAAATTTTGGAGACAGAAAAACAAGATGAAAAAGTACCAGTAATATTGATGCTTGAATACAAGAATACGTACTTCTTTTGGGTTGCGTTATTTTTATTTGTGCTAGCTATAGTTAATGTTTACATATAATTTTGTCTTCTGGCCCTTTGAGATTATAAGAATGTTTTGTTACTGTCTTCTGTAGCCTTATTGCCATTACTGTTGCTGCTTTATACTATTTCAGAAAGCAAGCTGTCCCATGATTCACTTCAGTACTTGTTTATACTTTAGTCTGCAGTTCTTCCCTTCTCCCCCTGCTTGATTGTACTCTTCCTACTGAGTTGTTAGTTTGCTACTTCGGGCCATTGTAAGGAGCATTGGAACTAAACAGTTGGTAGTCTGTGGCTTTGCTCAATTCTCTGTCTCCTGCTCTGTTTCCCTTCTATTACAGGAGAATGACAGTGACTGGCTCTACTCTGTTGCCTAACATTTAACCTATCCCACTGGGGGAACAAGTTGCTCCCATCCCTGATTCATGCTGACTGGGAGATGTGATATTCTAGCTCAGGATGCCCCGCATTCCAGCCTGACTCCTGCACTTGCCAGTGAGCTAAGGTTGGCCCTGCTCTGCCCACTCCACCCCCCTCCAAAGCCACCCCACATGCGTGCAGACAGGTGGAGCTACCCTGCCTGAATCACATGCTCATGGTTTCCTACTTAATATCTGTGTACCAAGCTGTCATCCCCCGCCTAAAATGGAACAAGAAACTCATCATTAGCAAACTTTTCTAATACTACTGATATTAGTCAAGCAAATTAATATTTTTGAAGGAAATTCCTTAGAGAATCTCTCACAAAATGTTATATACCTAAGAGCATATCTGAATTTATATCAGTTATTCTAAAGTTTCTGGTAGAGCTGTATTGGGGGAAAAAAGCTGGAAAACCAGGCAGTTGTTGAGCACTGGACATATTTTTTAACACTGTGATCTGGGAATGCCAGTTAAAATAGCTTCCTAAATGAAGATGCGTACTTCTGAGACTAGGAGGAAACTTCTATCTTAGAATAAAATCAATGATAATACTTATTTTTATAATGAAGCTTTTCGAGTAATGCATCAATATGTAAAACAATATTTTTGAATATCACTGTTTTTAATGAATGTTCAATGCATTGCTGTGTTGGCTTGATACATGAACACATGCATTTTAAATGGGTAAAGCAGATTTATTTTAAATTAGATGTAGTCCTGGTTCATCTAAACTGTTTTCTCTGCTTCTTTCTTCCTCCCTGGATAAAAACTCTATCTTGAAATAGAGTCTTATCATTGCTATGCATTCTTTTATGCTTTTCTACATAGACATTTTTCCATAAACAGAAGTTGGTATTGTTTTGCAAGTTTTAAAGCTTTAAATTCTCTTATACATACAACTTGCCTTTTCACTTGGCATTGCTTTTGAGATTATTTCATGTCCATGCATACAGAATGTTCCTTTAAACTGCCATATTGTTTTCTATTATGTGATTATACTCTGATTTATTTATCAGTCTCTGTCCCTGCCCAAGCAGTTTGAGGAAGGGACAATTGAAAGTCAGAGCTTTATAATGTGTTGGCCAAGCAGAACATCCAGGATGCCAGGAATCAATACTTTAATTTCTGCCGTTCTCCATGTGTTTTCACTCCTTTTACTCCTTTCTTTACATTTTGGCCTGGTCTCCTGCAAACAGTTGTTAACATGACTCATTAACAGAAGGTTCTCCATAAAGATAATAGATTTGTTCCACTCTATGTATAGAAAGAACTATAAGGGAGCTAGATATTGACAAAGAAAATGTCAAATCTATAGCCATCAAATTGTATGTATACATTCATATCTATGATATAATGTCAATTTTTTTTAAAGATTTATTTATTTATGGAGTTATGGAGACAGACTGATTGATTGTTGTTCCATCCGGTAGTTCACTCTTCTAATGGTCACCATGGCCAGAACTGGGTTGATCTGAAGCCAGAAGTCAGGGGCTTCTTCCAGGTCTCCCATGTGGGTGGGTGCAGGGGCCCAAAACTTGGGCCATATTCCACTGCTTTCCCAGGCTGTAAGTGGAACAGCCAGGATTTGAACCAGCACCCATATGGGATGGTGACACTGCAAGTGGAGGATTAGCATGACACATAATTATGCCAGCCCTTGCCTGTAGGTATTTTTTTGTAAAGATTTATTTATTTTGGAAAAGCAGATTTACACAGAGAAAAAGAGATAGAAAATCTATCTGCTGATTCACTCCCCAAATGTGCGCAGCAGCCAGAGCCAAGCTGATCCAAAGCTGTGAGCCAGGAGCTTTGTCTGGGTCTCCCATTAGGATACAGGGTCCCAAGGTTTGGGGCTGTCCTCTATTGCTTTCCTAGGCCATAAGCGGGGAGCTGGATGGGAAATGGAACAACTGGGATATGAAACAGCATCCATGTGGGATCCTGGTGCTTGAAGGTGGAGGATTAGCCAGTTGGGTCATTGCACCAGCCCTGTGCTTATGGGTGTTTTTTTTTTTTTAATGTTTATTTATTGCTTTGGGATTAGAATTGTGGGACTGGGAAAAGAAGAAGATGAAAGAGAGAGAGGGAGAGTGAGCGAAAAAGCTTTTCCATATAGTGGTTGTATCTGCAAATGACCACAACAGCCATGGCTAAACTAGGGTGAAGCTGGGATCCAGCACCTCCATTAAGGTGGTTGGCAGGGCTCAACTGCTGGGATCATCTTCTGATGGCCTTCCAGGGGCAGTAGGAGGCAACTGAAAACAGAAGTGATTCTCTACTCCAGCAAGGCCTTACTCCATCACTCCAGAGGGAAAAAGCCTGGCGCATCCACAACCCCGATTACGACAACACACACGCTCCACAAAGTCCCCACCTACCCAACAAGATGAGGTTAACACAATAACTGCCAGACTTATGCTATGCTTAATAAGAAATGCTTATGAGAAACCAACAGATAGGTATAGATATCCCACCACCTGCAGCTCCGACCATATGTATCATACCTTCTAACAAACCGACAAACCATGAGATACAAAAACGAAGCAAAATCCCCCTAACAACATCAAAACCCCCCCCCAGCATTCCCAACTCTCTACATATTAAGCCCACAAGAGGGTCCAGATCCTCAATTTAATCGCTTGCCCCCCACACAACCAAGGCCATTATTCCTATTCAACACTACAATCACCAAATCCATCGCAATGCACATCCGGACTTTCCAACCCCCAACTCCACCAACAAAACCCCACCACCCCCACCCTTCCCCCCTCCCCGCTTCACACCCAACCTACTCCAACAATATAATAAAAATAAATACAAAAGATCATACCCCGACCCTGAATGATCCCACTTCCTCAAACAATACAACCCCCATATAACCTTCAAACAACACGATTAATGAGCCACATACCAAACACCAAACTATCCGATTACGTCTCCAAAATTATAAACCATCTCAGAAAATATACCCGCCGTAACCCAACCCATTGAACCTTACCAATATGCCACTCGTTACTCCCCACCCACCAGGCGATACTTTCAATCCCCGAACCCCGCCCCCATCGCCATCACTTTTTTTCTTCATGAACATATGCCGATTACAGTAAATTGGATTTTAACATTTGACTAAATCATCATCTATAAGCTAAATGAGGTTTCAGCTGACTTAACTGAATGGTATTAGGAGAAGCTTATGTGGCAAATAAATAAAATATGCATTTTAGAAAAGACCAAGGGCTCCTGAGCCACGAAATTTCAAACCTACAATAATAGGTTCCGTAAAGGTTGAAGTAGATTTTTCAATTATGAAGTAATGAAATGCGTTGTACATGTCCATAACTTATGTTGCCTTTTTTAAAAAACTGTGATCTAGAAATGGCCACATTGATTTTCAAGAGTTGTGTGTTAGAAGAAAATCGCTGAGATTCGATTTTATGGCTTTGTGACTGCCAGGTGAAGCAGCAAGAATGGAGAGATGGTGTGAGGGCCCCAGCTTCTCGGCTTGCTGCTGCTTCATGCAGAGATGTCTTGTTTCAGAACCATCTCTGATGTTCACTTGCAACAATGGTGTTGTGCTTTGTTTCACCCAGGTCAAGTTTTCAGAATCTGACTACTTTGGCAACGTCTTGCAGACCCGCAAATATTTAGCACAGTCTGATTTCTTCTGGCTAAGAAAAGCGGTTCCAAAAACAGAGTAAGTACTTTCTAAACAAATAAAAAGTGACCTAGACAAATAAGGTGGTGAGAAGTGGAGTCTTGGGATTCTGAGTTTCCCTGAAGTCAGAGTAGCTGGCTTGCCAGTTCTCTTACTTGGGCAAAATCTGTGTTGTCTTTGCCAACCCTTGTTTCTAATATTATAGGGTTTGGTTCCTCAGTCTCATTATGGATTCCCTACTCAGCCTCAAATCATATTAAAAATAAGGCTTATTAGGATGCAAACAGTATAGTTATTTCTAGATCTAGTTGTGACCACACACGTATATATGCATGCATATGAACACACATAGAACATTTTTTTCTGGATTTTCACTCTGCCAGTAACTTTTGAATAATACTTTCAATGAAAAGCTTGATTAGAAATGCAGAAGTAATTGTAAGTTATGAAGCAATAAGGTATTTGTTGAGATAATGTGTACAAACTGACAGATACATTATTTCCAACCAGTAGTGCTTTTGATTTGTTGGTCTGCTCAGCTACCTATTGGAACTTTCCCACGGGTAAGGAACTTTCTTTAGGACCTTTTGAACATAAAACCAGTGAACCAGCTGCAATTTCCTCCTCTAGAAAATTGTTGATAATGATGATGATAATACAGTTATTCTGTGTTTACAGTATTCCAATAGTGCTTTATAAAATTTTAATTCATTTTATCCTCCTGCTAATTTTGTGTGGTGTAGATGGTAACATCCCTGTTTTAGAAGTGAATAAAAGGCTTATGATGGAGACATTCTTTAGCTCAAGGTTCCCTTCTTTTTGTTCTGTCTGCTACTGATCATGGGGTCATGCCCTGTTTTGCTATGGCCTACTTCTCCATTGCTTATTTTCTGTGTTCTCCAGACTGGATAATTTCTTGATCTGTTGTCAATTTTGGAATTTCCACTTATGTATTTTTTATGTTTCTATTTCTCTGTTGTGATAATTTGTTGAATCATTTTTATCCTATTTCCTATGAATTATTTGAGTAGTTTCTTGTAGTTATTTCAGCTTATTTATTTGTTTATTTAAATTTTACTTATTTTATTATTATCATTTTATGATACAGTTCCATAGGCCCTGGGATTTCCCTTATCCCTTCCCCAATTCTCTCCCCCCTCACTATGTTCCCCTACATGATTGCACAGTCATATGTCCATTGTACATATGTCCATATGTACATTGATACACAGTCATATGTCCATCATTATGGGCATGGACAATGACAAACAATGTCATATAAACATCAAATAAGAATTCTGGAGTATCAGTACCACATAGACTATAAAATATTATATTGCATATAAAATATGTATATTACATACTAAATGATACAGGTATTTCATGCTAATGTAAGCTTTAAAAATTTTTTGACAGGCAATAGTTTTTTAAGTCATCTGCTCCACTGACCCATGTTATCACATTATCTCTTGGTTCTATAGTGTTTCATTCTCAATCTGTTGGTTGCCTCTTCACTTTGTTGATCATTTCCTTTGCTATACAGAAGCTTTTAGTTTGATGTAGTTCCATTTGTTTATTTTGGCTTTGACTGCATATGCTTTTGGTGACTTTCCTAAGAAGTCTTTCCCAATTCTTATCTCTTGGAGAGTGCTTCCTATGTTTTCTTCTAATAGTTTGATTGCTCTGGGTGCAAGTGTAGTCCCTTGATCAATTTAGAGCTGATTTTTGAATAAGGTGCCTGGTACGGATCTTGCTTCTTACCTCTGGTGGGTGCTATTCAGTTGTCTCAACAGCATTTGTTGAAGAGACCAGACTTTTCCCTTAGCTTATTTTCAGTTCTCTTGTGAAAAGATTAATTGATTGTACATGTGTGGGCTTCCTTCTTAGGTTTCTATTCTGTTCCATTGAACTCTGTTTCTGTAGCAATACCAGACTGTTTTGATGACCACTGCTTTGTAGTATGACTTGAGGTCTGGAATTGTGATTCCCCCTGCCTGATTTTTACTCTTAAGGATAGCTTTGTCGATTCGTGGTCGCTTATGATTCCTTATGAACTTTTGGATCATCTTTTCTATTTCTGAGAAGAATGTTGTTGGGATTTTGATAAGGATCATGTTGAATTTGTATATTACTTTTGGTAATATGGACATCTTAATGATGTTGATTCTGTTGCTACAGGAACCTGGTAAGTTTCTTCTTCTTTTAATGTCGTCTACTGTTTCTTTTTAAAATATTTTGTGATTTTCATTAAGGAGATCTTCCACATCTTTGGTTAAGTTAATCCCAAGGTATTTGAGATTCCTCTCCACTATTTTAAATAGAACTGTATTTGCAATTCTTTCTCAGCTGTGGAATTACATGTATACACAAGTGCCATCAAATTATGTTCATTAATTTTGTGTTCTGCTACCCTGCCAAATTCTTAAGAGTCTCTTGATTGATTCTTTTGATTCTTCTATGTAGTGAATCATGTCATCTGTAAAATTTCAATTCCTCAGTTCCAATTTGAATTCTTTAATTTGCTTTTCTTGCCTGATAGCTCTAGCAAGGACTTCCAATACTATGTAGCAATACTATATAGCAGTGATGAAAGTGGATAAACTTATCTATTTCCAGATCTTAGTGAAAAAGTTTCCAGTCTTTTCCCATTTAGTATGATGTTGGCATTAGATTTTTCGTGAGAGATGAAAAAGAAAATACAATAACAGATACCTTGGCAATACATAGAATTATTAGGAACTATTACAAGCAATTATATGCCAACACATCAGAAGACCTAGGAGAACTGGATAGATTTTTGGACAGATGCAATCTATCAAAACTGAATCAGAAGTAAATTAATAATTTAAATTAATTTTGTAGACTTATATCAAGGACTGAGATTGAATCAGTAATGAAATCCCTCCCAACCAAGAAAATCACTGGATCAGATGACTTCACTGCTGAATTCTAGCAAATGTTCCAAGAAGAACTTGCCCTAATCCTCCACAAACTATTCCAAATAATAGAAAGGAGGCAATCCTTCTAAACTGTTTCTATGAAGTCAGTGTCACCTTAATACCAAAGTCAGATAGAGAAACAGAACTACAGACCAATATCCTTGAATAAATATAGATGCAAAGATCCTCAACAAAATACTAGCCAACAGGATCCAACAGCGCATTAGGCAGATCATTCACCTGGACCAGGTGGGATTCATCCCAGGCATGCTTGGATGATTCAACATTCGCGAATCAATAAATGTGATTGACCACAGCAACAAATTGAAAAATAAAAACCATGTGATTATCCCTATAGATGCAGAGAAGGTATCCGACAAAATCCAAATCCACTTCATGCTAAAACTTTAAGATTGGCATAGAAGGAACATTCTATAATGCAACTAATGATTTTTAGTTTCTCAGTGGCAAGGGTGTTTCACAAAGCTTGTGGAAAATATGATTAAAATATAACTTCATTGGGCCCGGCGGCGTGGCCTAGCGGCTAAAGTCCTCGCCTTGAACACCCCGGGATCCCATATGGGTGCCGGTTCTAATCCCGGCAGTTCCACTTCCCATCCAGCTCCCTGCTTGTGGCCTGGGAAAGCAGTCGAGGACGGGCCAAAGCTTTGGGACCCTGCACCCTGTGGGAGACCCAGAAGAGGCTCCTGGCTTCGGATTGGCATAGCATCGGCCATTGCACTCACTTGGGGAGTGAATCATCATCCTGTCTGCCTCTCCTCCTCTCTATATATCTGACTTTCCAATAAATAAATATATCTTTAAAAAATATATATATATATAAGTTTATTTAGATACAAAATTGTTGAAATTCTGCATAATTTTTTATGATGCATGGTTTCAGGAAATTTTTGAGCACCACTCACAGAAAGGTCATTGGAGATCTATGAAAATAACCCTGCCTTTTATTGTATGACAGCTGTTCAAACCTGTGAAACATTTTAGTTTTTCTGGTGTTTTTGTGGATTTTCCGGGTCTTTCTAGAAATTCCTTTATATTGGAGATGCTACCAGCTTGTTGATTTTTAAAATTTATTATTCACGCGGATATGTAGCAAGGCCTGGGTTTCTAATTCAAAAACTCTTCAATGTGTCATCTTTAATATCACCAGAAGATACTGACAGCTTATTGGGTTATAATAATCTTGACTTTTTAATTTTTGATCTGTGCTTTAGACAAACACTAGCTTACTTTGTAGTTTTAGGCAAATTGATTCTTTGCAGTCTTCTGTCAGCAGACCACAAATAACTGTTTCAGCAGGCTTTAAAGTCATTACTAATTGGGGAAAATTCTTCATTATTGGAAATTAGTACATCGTTTGTAATTCTTGTTTCCTCAAATCATATATTTATTTTAGGAAAATATTAAGAAATTTAAGGTTGGGCCCGGCGCTGTGGCGCAAGTGGTTAAGTCCTCGCCTTGCACGCCCGGGATCCCATATGGGCGCCGGTTCTAATCCCGGCAGCCCCGCTTCCCTTCCAGGTCCCTGCCTGTGGCCTGGGAAAGCAGTCGAGGACGGCCCAAAGCTTTGGGACCCTGCACCCGCATGGGAGACCCGGAAGAGGCTCCTGGCTTTGGATCGGCATAGTATCGGCCCGTTGGGCTCACTTGGGGAGTGAATCATCGGACGGAAGATCTTCCTCTCTGTCTCTCCTCTCTGTATATCCGCCTTTCCAATAAAAAATAACAAAAATAAATCTTTAAAAAAAAAAAGAAATTTAAGGTCATTTTTGCATGACATAAATTATATCAGGATCAGTCTCTTACTGGTACTTTTCAGTAATTGTAGGCAGTTGTAGGTTTCTGATACCTGTCTAATTGACATCTTTGGAGTTTGAGAGTTCATGGGTTAATCAAGTGGGAATAATTCTGGAGTAGCTCTACTACACTAGTTCTCTTTGAGCAGTAAATTATGGTTATTTTTGCACAAAGCCCTAAAATAGTATTTTGTTTCTTTGTGGGTTTAGGAGATAAATATCCTTTATCTTGCATTCTTGTGGAATCCAGTTTAGCTGCACTAATGTTCCTTAAGAAGTTTCA